TCACAACGAGGAGGAAATTAGTGCAGCTTCTTCAGGTCACTCCAACAAAAATACACTATTTAGCCAATTGCAACCGAAAGTTGCTGAAATGTAGTTAATACCAAATGTGCTTACTTTACCTTAATTTGCTGCTCACGCTTTGCATGTTTCTCTTTTCTATTCGGAGGCATGGATATTGATTATTTCTTTAAATAAATGTTATAATTAAGGGTTGTATTCAATTAAAAATTTATATGATTTTGAAAGAGTTATAAATTTAATGGAGTTCCATAGTCTCCATATGAATTATAGATGGATTCAATAATAAGGGGAAGATGCCTGATTTTCTAAAGCCTAGAAACCATTGTAATACCTCTCTAAATTCATTAGTCCAACATATTTTAAAATACTTTAAAATCAAATTCTAATTAAATACATATGGAGTTGTATGAATTACTTTGAAATCCGGAATGAATACATTCAGATTTTTATAGAGTTTTATAAACTATTTTAAAATCACGATTAAATACCCAAGAATTTCCGTGAATTCATTTAAAATCTTGATTGAATACATATAGATTTGTAAACTCTTTTAAATTCATTTAAACTCTTTTGTCAAACAATAGATTTGACAAATTAAAAATGTTAGAGTCGAGAGCTGATTAGGTTTGAACTCACATTCTGGTGCAAGGACAATGCTCATCTCCACTACTATGTTAAAGGGCACTTGCGAGTAACCTCCTCCCTTCAATGGTAATCCACCTAGTCCGGGATCCGGGCAGTTGGAATTTGATCCAACGGTTACAGTTATTATCACTTTTAAAGAGGCCCCCTGTTTGTAGCTGTTTGATCAAATTTCAACGGCCCAGATCCCGAACTAGGTAGATTAGATGGAAAGGTATCCGGAGCGGATCCCTTTCCCCCTTCAATATATACAAATGAATATACTTGAGTAGAATTTTACTTTCACTTTGCCTTTTTACCTAAAATGGGTCACATGTTACTTCGGCCATTGACGCTAATTTCAATCAAGGAGTCTATTGTATTAAATCAAGGTGAAGATTATACTTTAATTAGTTTATGTTATCGGTAGTCACAATAGTCCCTGGTCATGATTATTCATTGAAATAAATAAAATAATAAATTAATAAATAAAACTGAATGTTTTAAAAATATTATATGAAGTGGTAATTGAACACAAATTTGAAGGTACAAAATATAATTTATTCAAAATTTATTAATTGTTTGGTCATGTGTCACAAGTTGGTAATCACGTTATCACAAATGTAGAATCTACTTTAACATATCATCATTTTAATAAAGATGTTGTATGAGGTTATAATTGAACTCAAACTTAAGATGTTAAATTGGAAGAATCAAATTTGTGTGCATTAGTAAATAAGGACGTTATTAATTGGTTTTGAATTTGAAAGATCAAAATAAGGAGTTATGTTAATTTTAAACGTCATATGTGATATAAACCTTCTAATTCTAGTTTCATTACCTCATTCTCCCTTGTCACTTAAAGCATCCCTAAAGAATTAGACAACTATCTTTTTTTTTTTTTTTTTTTTGATAAAATACGATATAGTTTCATTAAATGCCAGTAATAGACTAATCAGTACAAGGAGTTGGGAGATCCTCCTCAATTAAATCACAAATCAATGAGGGGGTTTCATCAAACCAAGTACAATTACCACTGTAAAAGGAAAAACGAGCAAGCCTATGGGCATATAGAGTCAACTTGACAGTGAACATGGGACACAGTAGCTTCAGTGACCAAGTGCAATAAGGATTTGGCATCTTTGATGATAGGTCCAGTAGTAGACACATTCAAAGAAGACTCATTCAAAACAAAAATTATCGGAAGTGAATCACTTTCCAAAGAAATATTTTGTAAATCCCTTTTGATCACCATCAAAAGACATTCTCTAATTATGAGTGCTTTAATGTGAACAGGAGAGAAAATGTCTTCAAATCTCCTACTTGTAGCAGCCACCCAAGTTCCATTTCAATCCTGGTTAACAACCCCACACCTCCCAGATTTGTCTCCTTACACCCGGCACCATCCACGTAAGTTTGAGCCTTCCAGGTGAAGGACATGACCATTTCAGAATAGGGACATGCCTTCGGGGTAGAGGAGGCTTGAAGTTGAGCCTAAGAAACTCCTGCCACCAATCAAAGGCGCGTCTCACAACAGCACTTGGAGAAGGAGAGGTTGCCTCCCTCCCTTCCCCCACTCGCGCCGCCACCCCCCCCTCCCCCCCCGCCCCCCCCCCCCAAAAAAAAAAGCTTGAGATTTCTAGCATTCCAGATTGCCCAAAGTATGACCAAAATGCACTCAAAATATGACGATCTAACTTCATTAACCATTGCCAGGGCCCACTTATTCAGAGATCTACTATAATGCTACCTATTTCTTAGCCCCAACGGAGATGCAAGCCAAGTACACCTCATGAACGGGCACTAGACCACAATATGCTAAACCGTCTCAAATGCCGCCCCACAGAGAATACAAGCAGGATCCAACGGGACATGCCGTTAAAGAAGATTATCGCTCGTGGGAATAATGGTGGAGATAATTCTCCAAGCTGCCATTTTCACTCTGGGAGAGACATTGGCCTTCCAAAGAGAATCCCACATCACCGAGAATTGAGAAACTTAGCCCACGAGGAAGTGGAGAGAGCAAAGGGGAGGATCCAATTACGAGCAACATGATAAGCACTTTTAATTGCGAACAGACCCCGGTTGTCATAATGCCAAATTAATCGGACATTAGTTCTTCGAATGCTCAATGAAATGGATCGAATTGCATCCCTCTCCTCTACTGAAATTGATGAACCAAGAACCTCCAATTTCCATCTAACATCATCAATAAGCTCACTGACCATATGCACATTACAATACTGTAGGCGTTTAGGGGAAAACAATGGAAAAGTGGATGATAGAGGCAGTTATCTATCACCCCACATCCTCACCGAGGTACCATCGCCTATTTGCCACCTAGAACCTCGCAAGATAACTTCTCTAGCGGCACACATGCTACGCCATGCATATGACGCATTAGATCGAACACTCGCCTCAAGGAAGGAGGAAGGAGGAATGAGGGAAATACTTTGCCTTTAACACCGATGCCACCAGAGAATTGGGCTCCTGAATGATCCTCCACCTATGTTGGGCTATAAGTCCAAGATTAAAGGCGTATAAGTTACGAAACCCAAGGCCTCCCTCGTTTTTGGGCAAGCACAGCTTATCCCAAGCCACTTGATGGATTTTCCTAGAGTTCTTAGACTCATTCTACTAATAAGAAGCAATTAATTGGTTTGGTTTGTCACGGAAATACTTGGGCAATAAATAATAGCTCATAGAATAAAGTAGGATCGACTGTGCCACCACTTTGACTAGTAATTCCTTCCCCGCTGCATTGATTGTTTTACCTTTCCACCCCTGCAGTTTCTTCCATACCCTTTCCTTGATGTGGCTAAAATATGCTCCTCTGTTTCAACCGACGAAGGTAGGGAGCCCTAAGTACTTCTCATGTCAATCCACTCTTACAGCCCCAAGCACCGAAGCTAGAAACTCCTGGTCAGATTGCTTAATATTTCTACTAAAACAGATCGCGCTCTTTTGGAAGTTCACTTGTTGCCCTGAGACACCTTCGAAACACCCTAGAATCTCTTTAACTGTCTCACAGTCCTACCATGTAGCACGAGCAAATATGAAACTGTCGTCGGCAAAAAGTAGATGATGAATGGAATGAGCTCCCTAGCAAACAGAGACCCCTTAGATAACACCCTTTGGATCATTGAAAGCAATAAGAGCAGAGAGTCCCTAGGCGTGAAGAAGGAACATGTAGGGGAAATGGGGTCTCCTTGCCTCAGACCCCTCTTTGGGTGAACATAACCACACAAAGATCCATTTCCCATGAAAGAGTAGGATACCGTTGTGACACACATCATGATTAAATTGACCCAAGACCTCTCAAATTCCACTGCATGCCGCTTCTCCATTTCATGGTCTAGAATTCCACCCGGTATATATGCTATTTTGTATTAGCTTAATTAATTTGCTTTCTGATTATTCTTGCGCTTTTTGTTTGCTTGGTTCTCTTAATAATATGCCTATTAGCAACTTAAGTATATTAATGCTCAATGGTGAATGTTTCATGCAATTAAGGCTAATAAAATATCAATATTTAGACCGTGTTTTAGAAGTTACTTGGATGACGAATCATGTGCACGAGTTTGTATCAAAATAACATTCGGTTCCTTAGCACAACGTCAAGGGTGTGATTTGTAATGTGTTATAGTCTATTTTACTGAAGGTGCATAATAAACAGAAAAAAGAGAGTTGGACAATTTCTGTGATAATGTTTCCCATCACTTGAGCCAGTATTTATAGTAAACCTAGCAGACTTACTAGCCTTGCAAGTAATACAAGCCTAAAGGAACAAGATCTTCCAAATTATATACTAGTCCTAAACACAATTGATCAATAATTTATACAATCATGTGCTATAATTATTATCACAAACAAACAATACATTCTAAATAAATACAATTATTTTCCCTCTTCTCTTAAACAAATGCTTAGCCAATTCCATACGCCTAACCAAAAAATCCCTTCTTCTTCCCACTTTTCGATCCCGTGGGCCTTTTTGTTGACTCTTTGTTGACTTTTTGGTATATGAACCCACTCACTAACTTGTTTACTTCTTAATTTGTCTATTGCTAGCTGTGTTTTGTTTAATAGACTTTTCCCAAGTATTTTACATAGGTTTACTTAGCATGCAGAGAAGTGTTCATGACTTCCTCATGTAACAGCATATAAAACGGAGAATGCACGCCACGGGTATGCTTCTCCCTATGCAGAACTCCATATAATTGGCAAAAGACCCACCAATAAGTAGCGGAAATAAATTATTAAAAGTATTGAAGACAAATTATTCACTTTGGCGGGCCCTAACCTTTCTTGTGTTAAATGTCTACATATACAAAGTTGAATATATCACAAAAGTTTAAACCAACAAAAATGACGTTCAACTGTTTCTTATACCCATTCTCTGTTCTCCTCATTTCCTATTCTGTTTTAGCTCAAAGTTTGAAACCAGATGAAGAAATCCAAAGGTCTGCATTCCCAAATGACTTCTTCTTTGGAGCTGCGACTTCATCTTATCAGGCACCTTCTGGCCTCCTCTTTATCTTCTTCTAATCAAACTCCTTCGTTGCGCTGCAACTTAATTTCTAACTTTTAATTGGCTACTAATTTGATTTTACAAGGTTGAAGGTGCTTATCTTCAAGATGGTAAGGGCCTAAGCAACTGGGATGTTTTCACAAAAATTCCAGGTAAGTGTTGCTCTCTGGACCACATTTACTGGCACGTACATTGCTCACCACCTCTCTAATACGGTTTACTTCCACAAACATAGATGTAGTCCACATATATTAGAGAGGCGATCAGTAAATGAAGTACCAATAACATTATTCGTCAAATATTTCTTACTACTATCTAGGCTGTATTTTCACCAGATTCATGTCATCAGGAAAAATAGAGGATAATGCTAACGGAGACGTTGCAGACGACCATTACAATCTCTACTTGGTATTGATCATTTATATTTTGAATTCTGGAAATTTTAAACCAGAAAAGAAACACATAAGGGGAAGCAAATTTATTTAACTTTCTGATATTGACATGGGTCATATAAATCTGTACAGGAAGACATTGAGCTGATGCATTCCTTAGGCATAAGGGGATACCGGTTCTCCATTTCTTGGTCCAGAATTCTACCTGGTATTATTTATGCTGCTTTTCTATTTGTACCAGCTTAATAAATTTGCTTTCTGATTAATTAATTTTGGTTAACTTTTGTTTGCTTGGTTCTTTATTCATATGGCTATTAGCAACTTAGTTAAAGTATCTTCTTGAGCTAATTATAGATGGGATGCTCGGCACGCCCAATCCAAGCGGGATCACGTTTTATAACAAGCTTATAAACCACCTAGTAAGCAAAGGTATTGCTAGAAACACAAAATTTCTTCACCAAATTTCTTCTACCATTACTTGCAGTTCTGTTGTTTTATTTACCAAAAACATGACCAAATAATGAATTCAATTTCTTACCAAATTTTCTCGTAAGGATTTGTATATCAATAATGCAGGAATAGAACCATTTGTGACAATTCACCACACTGACCTGCCCTATATGCTAGAAGCAAGAGATGGGGGCTGGCTTAGTCCGCTATTACGGTGCAAATAAACCTATTTAGATAGTAGTAAATGTGGTGTAAATAACATTACTTGCTCTCAGTTATGGGATGACTTACGCTTTCATGGGTTTTCTGGACTTTATTTGTTTCCTTTTATTTCAGGGAAGAATTTGCTCGTTTTGCCACCATATGCTTCAAGAATTTTGGGGATAGGGTGAGGTACTGGGTTACCATAAACGAGCCCAATCTCATAGCTGATTTAGCCTATATAAGAGGAATATTTCCACCAGCTCGTTGTTCACCGCCGTTTGGTAATTGTTCCACTGGAAATTCTGATGTGGAGCCTCTCATTGCAATGCACAACATGTTAATAGCACATGGCATGGCCGTTGACATCTATCGTAGTTTTTTTTGGGTGAGCAACTATATATGGACTTGTTTTCTATTCTGGTTTCTTAAATTTATACTCCCAAAAGAAAATTGAGCATTTGTCCATATTTTCTTTACAAACCCTTTATTTTGGATGAAGTTTTAACGGTGTTATAAAAAAGGATTGTTGCCTCACATTACGATAAGTATAGAAAACAATAATCATGAATTTTCAATTCAAGAATCAAAGCTCCAATTAGAAGAAAATCCAAAAATCAATGCTCTAATTTTCTAAACCACTTAAATACCACTAGGATAATTATGTACAGTTGGGAAAGTTCATGTTGAAAGATTAAAATGATAATTAAGTTGGTAACCAATGTTTTTTTAAATAGAAAATAAAAATATGACGAGTAATGTTACAGCCAAAACAACAGGGGTTTATTGGAATTGTTTCGAGTGCTTTCATGTATGAACCGCTTAGAGATGAAGAAAGAGATCGGCTTGCTGCTGATAGAGCCTTGGCTTTCAATGTGGCCTGGTAAGTGTTGCTTCTTCTAGTTACTGAAACCAATTATGTCATATTGATATAATATGTGATAGCTATAAGACGTCGAGGAGTGATAACAGAATTAAATAATTTTATATGATCTGACTATACATTTAAAACCTTCATTATTTGTCACGATGTGATTATTGTTTCGTTGTTACCATTTTCTTTTAGTGGATAGATCTTCTGATTTCATCTGATTTCCTCACGTGTGTATAACAGATAGGTTGATTTTACTTTTTTTTTTTTTTTTACTTGGTCAAAAACTTTATTACGTGAACATCGTGATTCATATACAACAATAAACTATTAGTAGCGTGTAGTTAAATATGTTTGAATTCAAATAAAATGCAGTAAAAAATAAAAAATCATGTTAATAAACAGTCAAATTCGAACTTTATTTTGAGGGTTTTTGAAGAACACATAAAAATGCTAATCTAAAGTCATTTTTCTATAAATAAATTGAAAAAAAAAAAAAAAAAGGGTGTAAGATTCATACCTTGATTCGATGAGCAGATTTTCGTTTCTTCTTTTTCTTTAGAAGGAAATTTGGTAACTCATTTTAAGTTCGAGAAAAATCGACGAATATCTTTTTTATCAAATACAAATTGAAATGTTTACATCTTTCACTAAAAACTTTAAACAACAATTTTAGAAAACCCATCCTCATAATATAGTACAAATAGAATTGTTGATTATATGTTAATATCAAACTCTAAATCCTAAATAGACTCGAGAAACAATGATATGTGAACTTGTGACAATAATTCAGTGCGCCACAACATGATATCCATTGCCACACAATGTAATCACTGAAACCAATAAGCAACATATTAAGAGACTGCACTGTGGCGTGCAGAGGGACAAGTTACATAATTAAAATATACAAACAAGTTATACTCAATGATTTTTTTGTCTAATTAAACAGGATGCTTGATCCACTAATATATGGAGATTATCCTGCTGAAATGCGCCAATGTCATGGCTTGGCATTGCCAAAGTTTTCGGCCAATGAGAAAAGGCTTTTAAGAGGAAGCATAGATTTCATTGGTGTCAACCACTATTCAACTCTATATGTCAAGGACTGTATCAACTCTACTTGCCCCTCCGGCGGTGACCGTCCCATTAGAGGCTTTCTCAACACAACTTCGTATCGAGATGGCGTTCCCATTGGAGAACCGGTATATTATCTCATTAGTATATTAAAAAATCTCTTGCTTTCTCCAAAATTCAAGTGTTCCAGAGTAACTTACACTCTTGGGCTACGTTTTATATGTGGGTGGAAGATTGGGAATGAGAAACTATTGCCTTTTCCATGTTTGTAAGTCCAAGCTTGGGAATGATTTCCCGACTCATGAAGAAAATAAGGGAGAAAGCGAAGGAGTAGGATTTTGTTTTCCTCTTTTTTTCCCTCGTCTTCCCTTCTCTCCTATTTGAACGATCACCGTTAAGCCATGTCAACATCTGATATTAATTTTTTATAGAAAGAGAAAGACAAAATAGAAAGTGTGAGGGAAGGGAAGGGGATGGAAAGAGAAAGGGAGAGAATCCTAGTCCGAAAGTGAAACTCTCCACCGAATTGGTATTCACTTGACTACCACATGAGAAACCAAAAAAGACATTGATTGTCCATTTTTATGACAAATATGTCCTCCTTGACATTAAAAATGCTCATTATATCCCAAATATTAAAGGAATTTTGCATTTTTCTTCCTCAAGTAAAAGACACGAGAAATCATTTCCCATGAATTTCTTTGCGCCTACCAACCGCAACCTCGGATTTTTAGACACTTCAAGAGTTATAACCGTTATACTTTAATTATTATACTTAACTAAAGATTTAACAGTTGCAACGTCCGAGTATAGAATACCTCTAAGTATACTAGAACATCCCGTGATGCCTTTTTATATATGTTAGCTAACAAGATCAACTTGCATTGGCTTTGACATCTTTCACATACAGACTGGTACGTCGTATTTATTTGTTGTTCCAAGAGGGATGGAGGAGATCATCGACTATCTTAAACGAAGATATCATAACGTGCCCATGTTTGTTACTGAAAATGGTTAGTGAATATCCGAACTTTTTTAATTTTCCTTATTGAAAACAAGTTCGTCAAACAATTTTTTTTCAACTGTATGTGGCAGGATACACTTTACCAGCACAACAAAATGAATTACAAGACATGGGTCGGATCAATTTTCACAAAGCTTACCTTGTCTCTTTAGCCAGAGCAATAAGGTGATGATGCAACTAATTAATTTTCTGATTTAATTCCTATGTTTGGTAGTCCTCATCCAAAAATATGAAAATGCAATTAATTAATTTTCTCATGTACCGGCAGGAAGGGGGCTAATGTACGTGGATATTTCATTTGGTCCTTGATGGATAATTTTGAATGGCTAAGTGGATACACCTCAAGATTTGGTTTATATTATGTCGATCGTCAAACACTTGAACGAACTCCAAAGCTTTCTGCAAAATGGTTTGCTAGTTTTCTCAAAAACAATACTCATAACGAGAAGGAAGAAAATTGTGCAGCTGCTTCATCGGTTCAGGGTTGAAAGGCCCCCATCTTTGTTTGTGGGAATCTTGAACAAGGACCAGCTCCCTAGCCCTCAGGCCATGTTCTTTGTTGTCTGTAAGGGGATGACGTTTGGGTCTCTTATGCCGCGTCTCTCTGTGTTGCCCTATTATCTCTATGGTTACCTTTGTTTGCTGGTTAGTCTGCAATCGCTTTCTGTACACCTCTTGGTTTGGGCCCTGATTATGAGTTTATCCAGTCTTTAATAAAAAATAAAAATAAAATAAAATAAAAAAATAAAGAAAAACACCCAAAACATAAAAATTAGCCAACTCTCCCATATATTTAGTATAGATAATATCGTTTGTTAAAAAAAAAAAAAGAAAAAAAGAAAAAAAAGCCAACTGGAGTCTAAATCTTCTTCAGTGATCAATTTTTTTGTTCTAGAGATTAATTCGGACAACCAACAAATAAGTTAAAACCCCTACATGACTACTATAAAACTACCACAAGAACAAAGTGCAAACAGTACAAATTTGCAACAAAGACGATAGAGACGACAAATCTAGAATCGGAAACACACACAACAACACCGCTAAAGCAAGACCACAACAAACTCGCCGGAGCAACACAACCCCGCTAAGCGGCACAATACAAAACAAATACTACCTAAACCTAACATGGACGTGAAAGTTATGATCCTCCTTGTTATATAGAAGTGAAGTTATGATCTGCGTGGATGAGTTATAACCTAATTTTTTCTAACAAAGTTTGCATGACCGTAATTTTAACATGTTAGTTTCGCAGTGTGAGTATTGAGTGTTACCCATTGCATGGTGTTTTCAATCCTTTCATGTTATAATATGTTTATATTTATTTTTTCGGTGAGATTGTATATGTTTATATTTTGGAAAATTTTAGTTCTAGTCCTTGATTGACTAGAATTTTAGATTAAAACTGTATTAATTTGAATACTTTGATTGAAGGACACAATGTTAAAGTTCAGTATTGAGTAAGAAACTTAATAACAATTTTTTTTTTTTTTAAATTCTTCCTAAAATCATGCAAAGAGTGATACCAAATAGGGATTATAAATTTTTTGGATTGTGTGAAAATTGATCAAATTTTTATTTTTTTTCAAAATAAATCGAAATAAATAAAATATTTTTATTTTTAAATATTATTGCGTTTTAAATTTAAAAAAAATACATTTTATTTTAACATATGGGTATTAGATCAAAGAAGTGAATAGAGTTTACATTAAGAAAATGGGTACATTTAAATTGGTACTTTTTACATTTAAATGGGTACATTATAAATATTAAAAAATATAGGAGAACAAACTAAAACTAAAAAAATTTGGTATATAAAATATATATATATATATATATATTAAAAAATAGTTACAAATTAAAAAAAGGATACAAATTAAAAATAAAAATATATGATACAAAATTTAGGCATAAATATATAAATATATCAAAAGTAAAGTTTTGAACACTAAATAGACATATTTGGAAATGGTTAAATAATTTTTAATTATAAAATTTTAACATGCTGACATGTAAATATTTTATTATTGAAATAATGACGTGGATAAAAATCAAAGGACCTTGATAAAAAATTTGAAAAAGAAATCGTTTCCCTTATTTTCCTGCTAGGATCTAGCATTGGAAATCCTGTATTTTACGTATCCATACGATTGAGTCCTAAGGTTTCAATCAATGAAATTAAAAAAATGAGAAATGGAAACCTAATTTCTCCTTATATTTATTAGTTTTGTTGTGGCCTATTTAACTAACAAGGGAAAATGGGGGTGCGACAAGGAGAGATAGAGTGGAGGAAGTGTAGAGATTTCTCTATGTTTATGAGATGTGTTATTTCCCCCTACACAATGCCTTTATTTATAGTAGTAAAGAGGAGAAGAATTACTTGCCTCCAAGTAAATACAATTGTATAGGGAAAAAATAACTAGCAACCGAATGTATTTAGGATTTACACAACCATACTTTAATATAATATCTATAACACTCCCCCTTGAGTGTATAAATAATCAAGTAGATTCGTCATTAGGTATACTTAAGGAAGTCAACTCGTTGACACTGAACTGGGAACACGCTAGTCTCAGACAAAGGAATTTGCATATGGAACTAAGTCTCCAAAAAACCCAATGGCTATGGTAAAACCCAATACGAGATAAAAACCCATAGTTTAAGGAAAAGTACGTGAAAAGTGAAAAGACAAATGAAACGTCTACATGACGTAAATTAGGTATATGACCAGCCCAGGATGGGTTCCTCGTTAAAACCTCCTTAAGTACCCAAAATCCATAGGGAGAAGGCTCCAAATTGTAGGAAAAAAGATCAAATTAAGATCTAGAGAGTTTAGTTCGGGATACTCCCTCTGAGTTTGACATAATTTCAAAAAGAACCAACAATGTTACAACTCAGAAAGTTATGCATACCAATTCCTTGAACAAACTTCTGAAACGTTGGCTTCAACAAAAACTTGGTGAAGAGGTTGGCTAGTTTGTCCTGAGAATGGATTTTCTTGACTTCAATCTTTTGATGCTCTTGCTACTGATGAGAGAAAACAAACTTTGGCACAATATGCTTGGTGTTGTCTCATTTTATGTATCCTTTCTTAAGTTGTTCGAGATATGTCGCGTTATCATCATAAATCATTGTAAGGACGTTAATCACGAAAGAAAGTTTGCAGGTGCTTCGAATGTGTTCCATGACTGCTCTTAGCCAAAAGCATTCTTGAGTAGCTTCATGTAGGGCGAGAATCTCAGCATGTTTCAAAGAAGTGGCAACTAATATCAGTTTGGTTGACCTCCAAGATATTGATGTATCTCCAACAGTTAAAAAAAAAAAAAGTAACTCATTTGGTTGACCTCCAATTTCTACATGGGGGTACATTGTTGTATCGCCAAAAGATTGATAGCGAAGGATATGTCATTTCTAGTGCAATAAGCTAAGTACAATAAAGAGTCAATCACGCTTAGATATGAAACTTCGGGTTACAAAATATTTCCTTCATCCTCCTCAGGACAGTAGGGATCTCGTTTAGCATCTAGCGATCAAATGACCACATGAGCACTTAAAGGATTTGCTTTATCTTCATTAAAACAACCCAACACCTTCTGGGTGTAGTTGGACTGATGTACTAGGATTCCATCTGAACAATGTTCGATCCCCAAGCCAAGACAATATCAAGATTTCCCAAGATCTTTCATCTCAAATTTTGATTACAGGTGCGCAGTAGTTTTCTCAAGCTCTTCAGGAACCCTAATGAGATTCATGTCGTCGACATAAACTACAACGATCGCAAACCCTAAATGTAATTTCTTAATAAACACGCATGGGCTTAGTTCATTGTTCACATATCCTTAACTAATCAAATACTCACTCAAACCATTATACCACATTCACTCGGATTGCTTTAATCCATAGAGAGAACGCCTCAATCGATAGAGATGGTGTTTTGTGGTCTAGAACTATTTGATATAGTCAATGTAAGTCCTTCAGAAACTTTCATGCATATTTATGTATCAAGATCCCATATAAAGATATGCGATTACCAAGTTTATAAGCTGCACATCTAGTTTTTCGAGAACTACCCAAACTGATAAGGTAGCGGAATGTAATCACATCTATTACGAGAGAATATGTTTTGTCATAATCAATCCCAAAGCGTTGAGAGAAGCCCTGTGTCACAAGATGTGCTTTGTATTGCACTATTTCATTCCTCTCATTACACTTCCTTACAAAAACCCTCTTGTAGCCATTGGGCTTCACACGTGGCGGTGTAGAAATACGGGCCCCAACACCTTGCATTTTGCAAGAGAATCAAGTTTGATGTGAATTGCTTGTTTCCAGTTTTACCAATCAGTTCTACTTCGACATTCATTAATGAAATGAGTTTTAATGTCATTATTCAGCATAATCTTAGTAGCTACTACATATGCTAATGCATCATTGATTATCATCTCATGTGTATTCCAAACATCATCTAAGCTAGTATAATGGATCGAAATCTCTTGATTCTCGAAAGATGGATTCGTTTCTTCCAAGATGCTTCCATAGTCTAGAATTTCCTCATACTTGGATAAAATGAGTAGGCGATGGTCGGATTCACGATAAGCTCATTGGCATGTGTTGTGGCTTTCCTTTTTCGGGGTTGTGAATCCTTTGAACCAATGGGTTTGCCACACTTATGGGTAAGAGGAAATGATTGGCTAGCCACCAAAATATGAGGATTGGCCATAATGGCGTCCCGGCTTTCTAGGAGGAAGGTTTGTCGTGCATTTGGTACATCCATCTTTGCAAGGCAATCCGCAATTTATGGGATTATATTTCTAATTTGATTCAATTTTTTTTTAACAAACGATATTATCTACACTAAGAGGGTGGGGGAGTGGGTTAGGCCTCACAATGGGTGAGCCATAATAATGTGTTTCAAATTTCCTTTGGCGAGAATTGAACCTAAGACCTCTTACTTACAAGTGGAAAGGAATACCACTGGACTGTAGTACTAAATGACGAGAATCGAAACTAAGACCTCTCACTTACAAATTAAGGTTATTTTGTCTCGTTTTGTACTTGATTTGATTTGTTTGACAGATGTCTCGGATGTCGACATGTGTCACTATTAGATGACTCGATCGGCTTTAATGAGTAACATGTTATGTGCGTAATTTGGTGGGACCATGATGTGTGCTATGTAAGCTGTTTGCGAGTAAAAAAATTTATTTGTTGGCGAACATTTATTATACCGAAATTTCGATGTCAACAAGTACAAATTTTCCACAAAGACAGTATAGGCAACAATTCTAGCACTAGAAGCACACACAACACCACCACTAAAAGCAAGACCACATTAAACCACCGCTGAAACATCAAGGCGACAACAAGCATGTTGGATCGACACAATGCCGCTAAACATCACAACACAAAACAAATACCACCTAAACCTAACATGGAAATGAAGTTATGGTCTACCTTGTTATGTGGATATGAAGTTATGATATGCAAGGATGAGTTATAAACTATTTTTTTTCTAATAAAGTTTGCTTCACCATAATTTTAACAAGTTACTTTCGCGGTGCGAGTGTTACCCCGTTGTGTCGTGTTTTTGATTCATTCATGTCATTTATTGGCCAACTGAAAGCATTTCAAGAATGTCTGTTATGTATTCTCCTCTAACACTGAGGCTAGTTATAAGGGTTTCATGTGGAATGCACACCAAACAAATAGAGATGGAATTAAAAATAATCCTAATTACACATGGACCATACAA